TTTATCATTACAAGAGTTTGTTAGCATGAAACTTTGATTTGTTTGGTAAGGGAGATTGGCTATAGTTGTTTTGCATGTTGCTATGCACTGTTTGCTTATTATTTCCTTCTTGCATGCTCCTGATATTTACATTATCATATCATTACTTGTGTGGTTTATGATCTTATTTTTGTTATTTGAGCTTCATTTGTCAATTTGTGACAAAAAGGGAGAGAAGATTGTTTTTCATGTGTCTTAGGATTTCATGTATTCATGTCATGAGTTGGGTGCATATGTCTTAGTTTTCATCTATCCATCTATCTATGCTACATGTTCTTAAAATCTCCAAGTTGCATCTATTCATGTTTTCCATCTCATGCTTCAAATGCTTCAAGATAATCTAGCCAGCCATATGTTTATTGCTTTTTCATATACTCTTGTGGGACTAATAGTTGTTTTGGAGATTGTGACACTAATAGCTGTTTTGCAGATCATGACCTCGAGAAAGAAGTTTGCCTTTGTTGGCTGTAATGGGTTGGGGTAATTAGGATTTTATTTGTTAGGTGTGTTTTGTCACGGCATTGCCAAAAGGGGAGATTGTTAGATTTTTATTCTTCGCAATCCCATTTGACAAAACTCCTTTCAGTTGTACTTGTTTTCACACTTTTTTATTTCAGTGAGACCATGAGTGTTTAGATGCGAATCCAACCCGAATTGTGCCTTGCAGAAAAGTTTATGATGTTAATGCTTTCAAGATTGCCACTTCACTGATTATGACGGGGATTGAGCTGCCCGGTCAACTCGCGGGGGTCCAGGGGGCAGCACTCCTTGGCGGGTCCGGGGCAGCGCCCAGCCGGGGTCGAGGGACAGCGCCCCCGAAGCAAAATACAAAAATGCATTCCAAGTTGCCTATCCGCTCGAGCGGACATTCCCCTGCTTGAGCGGAGAATGCTGGGTTTCAGAAGTTTGTTCGCCTGCAAAAATACTGGATGTTGTTTTTTCCCGCTCGAGCGGAAATTTCCGCGCTCGAGCGTAGGTCCGCTCGAGTGGCCAATCCGACACTCGAGCGAAGATCGCGGGATAGTTTTCTATAAATACGTGTTTCAGTCCAAATCTAGGATAACTTCTCCAGATCTTCTTCTTGGGTTCTAGGGTTTATATCTGGGGATATTTGCTAGTTTCTTTGATGTTTCATTGAGTATTCAACTCATGGTTTAAGAAGCATACATCAAAAGGTTCGTTTGCTCATTCTATACAAAAGAGAGAGTTGTTCTTCGATGGATTCTGAAGAATTTGAGCCTGAAGCTTTGGTGGATTCTGGAATGGCTCATCGTAAAGACAATTTCGAGGTGAAGATGGGGTTGGAAGAGACACATAGGGGTTGGTTCAATTCGGGCATGGATTCGCTAGGTAATTGAGAGTATACCTGTGTAATTCCTTTATATCTTCTTAGTGGATTGTTTTGTGGCTGTTGCCCGTGGTTTTTTATCACAGTTAAAGGTGCTCCAATTGTGATTTTTCCATGTTAAAATCGTTGTGTCGATTTGTCTTGATTGTTTGATTGGGATTGTTATATACTGCTTAAAATTGATACATAATCACAAATCAACATCTAAGGGATTTCTAGATTTTTCACGGCCAATTTCATTGAACTGATAAATGAAACTATCCTTAGTCTCCTCTTCAATAATCATTTAACTGATAAATGAAACTATCCCCTATTACCTCTCTGACTACATCCCCCTCCAATTTCTCTTAACACATAAACACCAAACAGAAATATCCACAAAACAGGGACAATAGAGTGGAGCTCTTAAAGTAACCTCATTGTGCCAACACAGTTTTTTTTTTTTTTTTGAGTCAGTCATTTTTTCAAACAGTTAGAGGTTAATAATATTAGATAACATTATAGACTACCATCTATTAAATATGTACAAATATACATAGCATGTATATATTGATGAGAAATAAATATAGAGGAAAGGATCTTGACAGACCTGATATCATTGGACGGTGCTGATCCCAAACTAAAAAAATTCCTATGTATTCATTCTAGACACACAGGGGAGAAGCAACCCAACACACTGGCATATATACCAAAAAAATTCCTATGTATTCATTCTAGACACAAAAGAGAAAAGAGATTATGAGGGAGTAGGAGTGCGATAAAAGATATACAATCCCAACTATGCTCAGTCTAGTGTTCACTTCATGCTCGAAAAAATGACCTAGAAGAGAGGAGAACTATACCTGGATGTTGGAGGGAGATTTAGAGACGCCGATGTTGTCATCGGTGAAGAGTTACCGCCACTGCTAGAGAGTGAGAAAATGGAGAGATCTGTGGACGCCGGTCTACGATAGAGAGAGAGATTGTGAGCGTCTGCGAGAGCGAGAGAAGAGAATTGAGAGGAGAAGGGTTACCTAGACACGCTGGTGTTGTTGCCATAGCAAGAGAGAGAGAGAGAGAGAGAGAGAGAGAGAGAGAGAGAGAGAGAGAGAGATCTCGCCTTCTGATGAACCCTAGTCTTCTACTTTTCTTTTGATTAAAAGTAGCCAAAGAGTTAAATGTATTTTGAATTTTTTTTTTTAATTTGCGTTTTGGTGTTGGGGCTTTTTTTTTTAAAAATAAAAATAAAAATTGGGAATTGTATATTTTATATAAAAATTAATTTGGAATATTTTATACAATTACACTTATTTAGGGAGTGTGATTAAAAAGTAGTAATGTATATATAATCACACTTTAATTAGAATGTGTAATTAAAAAAATATATATATAATTACATTCATTTAAAAAGTGTGATTAAAAAGTAGTAGTGTATATATAATCACACTTTAATTAGAATGTGTGATTAAAAAATATATATATAATCACACTTATTTAAAAAGTGTGATTAAAAAGTAGTAGTGTATATATAATCACACTTTAATTAGAAAGTGTGATTAAAAAATATATAAATAATCACACTTATTTAAAAAGTGTGATTAAAAAGTACTAGTGTATATATAATCACACTTTAATTAGAAAGTGTGATTAAAAAATATATAAATAAACACACTTTAATTAGAATGTGTGGTTAAAAAATATATATATAATCACACTTAATTGAAAAGTGACATAAAAAATAAATATTATCACACTCAATTAAATTAAGTGTGATTAAAATATCAATCTAATTTTTTTTATCACACTTCCAATAAAAGTGAGATATTTTTTTTTTGTTAAAGTGTGATTTTTAACTATTTTTGTAATAATGCCACCACGCCTTCCAAGCGCCAAAGGTACGCTCAATCACACTCTGCAAAGAGTCTGCGTAGTTGAACAGCTCATCACGGTTCCGTGGATTATGCCTTTGAAATTCCGATTGGTGGTATCTATTGCCGTTATATGGTGCCAGAAAGCCCTTCTTATTGCTGTATCCACTATCCACAAGGTAATAACGACTTGTCAAAGTGCACATGTTACATAATACTCATGACCTATGTTCACTTTGCATACAACATAAATTTTAACTTAACCATAGTTACGTACATTTATTTCACAACAATTGTATCTCCATAATTGAATTATGTATTGACAAGCAGTGGTGGAGCCAGGAAACTAACTCAGAAAGGGCACTTCTTAATTACAACTTTAATTTTTTTCCCCCATAATCAACAATAAGAAGATAACAATAATTTTTGAAATAATATTACCAAAGCTTAAATAAATTATTACAAAAGTATTTTACATAAAATTTTATAATTAATTTCGAGTAAAATCGAAAAGAAAATATTGCGTGTAACTATTATATCATGGACAATGTAAAAACAGTCATATATTTAAGTCTTAAAATAAATTATATAATGGTAAGATAAATCAAATTATATAATGTAAAAACAGTTATATATTTAAGTCTTATAAATTTATATATTTATATAGTGAGATTAATTATATTTGCATATCAATAATGATGGATATTACCTTTATATTAAGATTTTTTCATAAAATTTTCATACATAAAAATATAATTTGTTGTAGTCACTTCATTTTCAAAAAAAACAATCACTATTATTTTTATAAATTTAAAAATTCCCTTGACATTTTATTCTAAATATTATTTTTATTTAAAATTTTATTTATATCCATATGTTAAAAAAAAAAAAAATCAAACATTCAGGGGGGGCACATGACCCTCCTAAGCCCCATGTGGCTCCGCCACTGTTGACAGGAATATGGATTCGGGCGTACGTACCGTCAGTTGCAGTTGGAAAATTGTATTGTGGATCCTCGGTTACATTGCTTAAAACCCGGTTGTCATGCATGCTGCCCTCCCACCCGCACGAGACAAATACGAAACACATGTTGAAATCACATACCACCAAAATATTCTGGGTGTGGCACCCCTTTCGGCTGAAATATGGGGCTGCTTTTGACTCCTTTATGCATGTTGATACGTGTGTTCTGTCCTAAGCAATCCTATATATCATTAAAAAAAATGCAATGATAATTTTACCGACCATGTTCATACCGAGCATTTTCCAAAACATTACAAAATAATTTTGCACACCTTGAATGAAAATATCATGGTTGGGACTGCAGATGGGGATCCCTGTGCGTTTGGAAATTAGCAGGGGGCCTGCAGTGAGCGACGATGAATTTTTTCATTGCTTTCAAGAGGTTATGAAAATGGCGTGAAATAGTTTCACTGGAGTGTTGGAATCGTTCTTGTAACTCCCGATTTGGCAAGTTTTTAAGCACAAGAATGAATATTGCAACACTCTTCTCGACGTGCAAGCCGTATGGATACTCGGGTACACGTAACTGGAAGTCGTTTACCAGTGTCGTACATAACCGAATGAACACATGTTTGTGCATGCACAATTCGTACCGGAAGCGGCCATTGTGACCATTGTATAATTCCGTAATCCATGCCCTCCTCGACAAGATGGAAATGCGGCATGGGACTTTAAGGACGTACGCCTTGTAGTAGTCAGTTTGCAATTCTGTAGGCTCAAACATATGCACAATTCATTTCATGCTACCACTGTATTGCGAGAGCTGCGACATCCTCTAACATTTGATTCATCCGTGTGGCGTCATCATCGTCGTTGTTCATACCTACAACGATTAGCACAAAACATTATCAACAAAGATGGCAGTATTAAGCACATGTTGGGAGCATGAAATTTCATATGAAAAATCTGAATGTAAAGCAAATTTTCTAAATAATGAAATTTTATGTTGAAACCCCTAACATAGATGCTGTACAAAAATGTCATAAATAAACAGTTACAAACTAGTCATAAAACTACATGGGATTTTCATAATTTTAATCATTTCATAATTTTAATTAATAATTAATTTCATAATTGCAACACACAAAAAACCATATTGTACATAGAAAATGGATTACCACATTGTACATAATTTTATATGAACAACCTAGTCAAACACATTGCAAATTCGGTACTGGGGAAAAAAAATGGATTACCACAATTACTTAAATCCTGTAGCATTTAGCATAACAAACATATGAACCACAAACATATCACAACCTAAAAGTGAAGTTAAGGACAATGGGTGTCACACCCCAAATCCGGGCATGACCGGCCGTGGCCCACAGGGACTTAGCCCAAGGCACACGTAAGCCTAAACACAAATCCAATCACATTGAACAACTGAACAATAGTCCAATAATAAATAACCAAAACTCAATCCAGACATGCCACAATTATAAACGGCAAAATCAATCGTAATCAAAAGCCATCCAAACTTATGGGATATAAACAGCCCACATATCAAAAATAATCCTAAATGAACTTCGATAAGAATAAATATAAATATGCACAAACTTGACATAACACTCTAAACTAAAGGAATGCCCTAGAGGTCCATGCAATTGAGTCACCGCTACGCCATGAGTCCACTCTAAGTCCTTCTAACACCTGGAAATGGTAAACAACTAAGTCAGCTGATAGCTCAGTGAGTAGCAACATGGATAGTAAATACAATTTTGAAAACAGGGTTCAATTCCAAAATAAGATATATATCCACAGAAAACTAGATTGCACATACAGTTTGGTAAATACAATCTGTTTTCAAAAAGAAGGTTCCACAATTCAACACTTAAAATACTCATGTCTGCAAGAACATGATAAACGACATTTTCACTTAAAAACAATTATAACATGAACACCAATAATTTCTGTCTGGGTACCAATAAAAACAATAATCTGCCACCACATTTTCTAGGCTATAAGCCCGTGGGATCACAATACCGAACTAAAGAGTATCCTCAGGGTTGGCACCTGGGCCTTTTCTCAAAGACGATCCGATTGAAGGTCACCTAGTTGTTTTTAAAAGGTCTGTTCCTTAACAATCGTGTTGACACTAGAGTCATCACGGACCCAAACCCCGGACTCTTTCCCTAGTGGCCAGAGTCACCACACACAGTGGAAATATATTTCCCCTGGACTAAATACACACATGGGTCCAATAAATTAATACACATCAATTTTCCCAAACATGGTTGGTTCATCATTATAACATGCAGGACCAAAAACAAATGTTACAGTATGCCAAAGTTCGACACGTGGTTCAGAAATAATGTTGATTTCATTGATAATATTAATAATTTATCAAAAACAGTTTAATCATGAAACAACAATTTAATTTTCCAACAGTTCAGGGTTAAGGAACATTTATAAAATAACGTAGCATGAAACTACTCACCTTGAAACGAAATGATATAATCCTTGAAATCGAATTAGAGTGTAAAAGTCCAACTAGTTGCCTCTGCCGAACGAAGTAATATAAAAAAAAAACAACTACACGCACACTAATTTAAAATACTACAAAATAGGAACTAAGTAACCTCAACTAAAGCGCACTAACAACGGCTCAACCCAACTCACCGTTATCTAAATATTTAGCTAAGTTCATGTTCTTTCAACGTTTAAAATCACCAAGACGTGGGTCCGGTCAAAACTTAATTAACTTGTGACTTTAAGCATAAAACAGATTTCAACAAGCCTTCCTAACTTATTCGCTAACTTTGAAAATTAAAAAACCCACTCCAACGCTATTAAAAAATTCCAATAACCTCTAGAATATGATCTAATGTATCCTAAGTTTCAACAAATGGTTCACTTGATTTGCCTTATCAAAATAATTATCTACAATTTATTATATCCAAACAGGTTGTTTTCTGCCAGTACTTTAAAGGAAATTGATGGTTCTCTTACTATACACGAGAATCAATGCAAGCCAAAATGTATCGAAACCTGACTCGGTAACTGGTTCTCAATGAACATAATTTGGTAATTTTTGGATTTATACCCAAAGAGAACAACCACTCCCGAATTTACTATTTCGGACTGATTTCCGGACCAGATTTGAATACCTCAATTTATTGGATTTTGACTCCAAAAATTACTGAAAAAAATTCAGATATACAATTCAATATGTAGTTGATCTACTGTAAAAATTTCAGATTAAAATTCATCCGTTTGATATGGTTTTCTTGATTTTAAAGTTAGCGATTATGTGCAGAATTTTTTGGGTGATGCTAAGATGTCACCCTCGATCTTGTATACGTTGATGATACGGTGTTTTAATTTACTCGCTTAGATTTTGCGTTAACAGTGCATATGATTACTTATAGTACACAAATACATGACACCTACAATCTCTCCATCAATGAATTAAATAACAATATTATAGGATCAAAGAACAAAGAAGAAGAGAAGAAAACCTAGAAGCGCACACAGCACGAACACACCCGAAAGCTCTCTTCATTGCGCTACAACAATAATCGTTGATGATTGAAAACCCCTCTCTTTTCTTCATAAACCCACGGCTGCTAGGGTATGCTAGTGTTTGTGAAAACAATATAACAAGAGTTAGGGTTTGTGTTTATTTTATTTTATACTTAGTATTGGGCACACTTAGGATCAAATAGATAAGATAAATATACAAATACAATATTAGTTACATGCAATTCAAATGTAAGAGTCTAACTTATTAATTTTGTGGTCTAGAGTTCAAGTCACACCTCTTTCTCTATTTTTTTTTTTTTTATTATAATAATCTTGCTCTCAATGCATGACTTTCACCAAAATTTAATTTTAGGTTTAAAATAATTAAAGATCCTCTAATTAATATTTAATTTATACACTTAAAGAATTGCATAATAAAAATATTTGAGATTGTAAAATTATTATTTAATATTTACTTAATTTTTATATCTCGGGTTCTCACAATGGGTCCACAACAATGTCCTCTGCCCAAGTCCATTGTCAACCAGCAATGACAAAAAAAACACAAAAAAAAAGTTCACAATTTAACTAAAATTAAACAAAATTCTAGAGTTGTATCCCGTGGCGGATTTAAACCGAATTCCTTTATTGCGCAGGCAAACTCACAAGAGCATACCCCCATTCTTTCTTTGTCCTATTTCTTCGCTTTGTAAGCCACCTCGATTATGCCTTGTCTGTGGGAAATACTCTAACCATGCCCTAATTGTTTGGAACTCCCATAAGCATGACCCAAAATAGAGAAGTGGATCATTGAGGTCTAGTTCCCATGTATTTCAACAGCCGTCCAACAGCTTGGCCCATTTAGTGTAACTGTGCCCCTTGGACGACGTGGTTTTTTTTTTTGATCAGCGAAGAAAAGGATCTTTATTGATGAAACCGAAGAAGGAATACATCAATAAGGGAGAAGGAGGAGGGGGAAGGGGTAGGGGAAAGCTGTGAGTTTGTGAGTAACCAACCACAATCACCAAACCCAACCCACAAAACAACAAAATCAGAACCGGCCAATGAAGCTACCATCTTTCCCTCTGCTGGAGCATCCAGCAGCAGACCACCCACAGTGGTTGTTTAGCACAGCAAAGCAAAGCAAACACCCCACAGTAACAAAATTCAGACCATCAGTGAGGCAGGAAAGTCAGCATGAGGGCTCCAGAATTTGAGGGGCAAAATGGGGGGGCAAGTATGCTCCAGACCAGAACCACGCAGGGCCTCTGCACTGCATTGCAAGACCCGAAAGCTGGTTACCTCCACTCTGGCAATCAACTGCATACATGCCAAATCTGCTCCAAGTCCATCTGCCTAGCATTTCTGCATCATAACATAAGCTTCACGTACAGGAGCTTCACTGGAACCAGAGGAGATAGCTTGCAAACCAGACTTCTAAGAGCAAATCTGCTAACTTCCCACCAACTGCTACCACTTGGCATAATGACAGACCAAGCACAGCCTACGAGATGCAACCTCTTCACCTGCTTCAAATTTGCGACAAATAATCATGCAACATTGTAATTCACCCTTAACATATTGCTTGATCCATAGTGCAATTCTTACTTTCATAGCTCTACTACCTTGTGCAAAATCTGCCTACCATTGTTAAATAAGCATCATTCCCTAAGTTTCCTAAAGACTCAAAGCTGCCACAGGCCACCTTCGCAAATGTTGAAACTCCTTCTTCCATGAATTTCATCCAGACCACCAGTCAAGCAAAATAAGCCACAGATCCTGCGGTTGCCCACGCACTTCCCACCAGTTTTTACCAACGCCAGACCATAACTCCATACCAATGGGCATAACAGCAAACATGATTTATGGTTTCAAGCTCTGCTTTGCAAAAATACACAAGTGGGCTGAATTGGCAGTATAGCTCCATCCTTTGCATGAATTCTGCTGTTTTAAGTCTCCCTTTCCAAGCTAGCCAGCGTGAAGAACTGAGCCTTGGTGGGGGGCTGCATTTTTCCACAGGAACTTTGTAATGGAAACTGTGGGTCCAATTAGCTAATCCAACCTTTTCCACATTATGCCACAGAGAATACTCCAGAATTACTTGCTCTCCACAAAACAGTGATCCTTAGTTTATAGGATTTAGATTAGTACCTCTGCTAGTAATACATTTAGCTATGAACTTCCTCCTCCTCCCAAGCTAAAAAGTGATCTTCTAAAATGCCAACTTCAAATCACGCCGGCCTTTCCGGGCGTAAAAAAAATTGCAAGGAAACCTTCCTTCTCCACTGATAGGCTAAATAGTCTAGGAAATTCACTCCTAAGACTCCATATCATTGAACCATCTATCCGTCCAAAAATGGATTCTTTCCCCATTTCCCACAATAATCCTAATAGTTTTGTGAGAAGAATCTGCCGCCTACACTATTTGCGGAATTACTGATACAATGTCCTTCACACTGTAGATACCATTGCAGTTGACACTGTTTC